ATATCTCTTTCGCCAATAAGACATTCCTTTAATATGTATTATAAATAAAAGGAAAAATTAATGTATATGACAAAATTACCCCCAAGCTATTACACCCAATTCTTAATTGTAACCCCAATCTAATCAATTTTGACCACAAAAATTCAATTATAACTTTTTTTTTTTAAAACCTTATTTTTTTTTTCTGAAATTACTTTTTTGCCGCCGATTTCCGGCATTGAATTTTCGATTTATTTATTATTTTTTTCTTGGTCTGTTTTTTCCACCGCCGATTTTCGGCCTTGACTTTTTCGAATTTTTTTTCCTCCTAACATTTTTATCTGTTTTTTTTACGTCCGCCGCTAAACGTTGACCGTAATTGTATTGTACTTAATAGTAATTATATTGTCACTGACAGTACATTGACGTAATTATACTGTCGTTGACTTACATTAACGTAATTGTACTGTCGTTGTCAGTACATTTATGTAATTGTATTGTCGTTGACAACACAACTAGAGTCAATATTATTATTATTTTGGTGTTTTTTTTTTCAATTTTGGTTGATTTGTTGACAAGTTAACGTAATTATATTACTGTTGATGACGGTAAAATAACTATAAATACAATAATATTACTGTCAACCACATCAATATTATTATTTTTTTGGGTTTTTTGTTTTGTTTGAGTTATTGACGGAGTAACGTTATAATATTATTGTTTACTATTGTAATATTACTATAAACACGATAATATTACTGTGGTTGACGGTAATATTATTGTTGTTACAGTAATATTACTGTCAACCACATCAATATTAATTCTTTTGGCTTTTTATTATGTTTACCTTTGTTGAACGGCCAACATATTAATATTACTCTATTACAAAATAATAATGACTTTTGTTGTGTTAATATTACTGTGCTAGAGATTAATATAACAATATTTTTGTGTTAAACTATAGTATAGTTTAATATTACTGTGTTTAACAGTAATATATATAGTTAATATTACTGTCAACCACAACAATATTGCTGTTTAAACGGGAGGCAAAACGATGTTAAAGAAAAATAATTCAAAAAAAAATCGAAAAAGTCAACGCCGGAGACCAGCGGTAAAATCAGGAAGAAATAAGAAGAAAAAAAAAAGTCAACGTCGGAGACGGGCGGTCTACAGCTGCGACGGACGAAATTGTCCATAAAATTGAGTATTGGGTCAAAATTGAATAATATGTGAAATTTGGGGTCAAATTGAGGTTAGATTAAATTAAAGAAGAAAATTTGAGCATATTAAAATGTAAGGAGCTATTATAGTTTTTTACATACCTCTGGACAATATGTAGATTTTTTTGTAAAAAAAGTTTTTTGTCTGGACCCCTTTATGCATAAGTACCCATTGACGGGCTTATTTGTAAAGTGCAATTTAGTTAAATTAAGTATGAAAGATCGGTGATCTGTTACCAAATCGACCAAATTTTCAATCCAAAAAACAACCAGGAATTAAAACCAATAACAATAGACACAGTGAACTGCAAAATGTGGTTCATGACCAATTATTCAATTAATCGTTGATCATGAACATGAGACATAAAATCACAAATCGACATGATCAAACCAGATATATACAAACCAATATTTTTCGTAATTGAAATTGAGTTAACTTGTTTTGTTTTCAATGTATATATACATAGTGTTCATCGAACAGAACTTGATGAAATTATTCCCCATGTTTTGGTTTCAATAATGGATCATTCTTTTACCAAAATACTCCAACATTCTTTTTTTTTTTTTTAGAAAGAAACGTTCATTGTCGATATCCTTATATTGTTGTTAGCTAAAATCTTTATGAACTGTGTGGGTGCGTCAGTGCATGAACACTTCGGGCGTGTCTGCGATCATTGCGGGACATGTCATGGACCATAAATATATTTAAGGTCAAAATTATTCCGTCAACTGTTAAGTGTAGAAATTACTCGCAATATGTTTTACTCTAACATGGATTATTGTTCAGATTAATTTATATTTGTGTTTTAATTGATGCAGTTTGTGTTTTATAGGTTCAAAACGAGAGTTAGATATATCCATGAGCGAAATAAGGTAAAAAGACAAAGGAAAATTGCAAATCAAACTTTGATGAAGGAATTCCGCAACAACTTGGAAGACTCGCGCATGAGTTTCGGTTGAGTTTTTAGTCCAAACTAAAGTTAAGGGTGGGTTATGTAATATATTTTTAAAATGAGAGTCTATATTTAATTAGACTTGACTTTGGTGGAGGGCATCTTAATTCACTAAATATATTAATTAAAAATAAAAATGTAATGTACAATTAAAGGGATTTTTGGATACGTACTATGAATTAGACCGGTCTTCATTTGATTCGGGAAAAAGTCAATTCACGCCATGTCTAGATGAATCTAATTTTATGCATGATTATAAAACTGGTTAAAATCTATTTGATTTACGCTGTCTAGATTGACCCAAGAATAACAATTTTTTTATTGATATATCAAAGACTAAATTAAGAGGATGTTTGACTAAGCTTATAAATTGTTAAAAACTGCTATAAGTTTTTTGAAAAAAATTGGTATTTTTTTAAATAAGATCTTAAAAATTCAATAAATAAGTTCTTAGAGGGTTTTTAAGATTTAAAAAATAAATAAATAAAAAATACCTCAAGTCCACAGTTTTTTATTTATGATCTTATAATGAGTCACAATAGCATATAAGCTAATTATCTAAACACTTTGAAAAATAATTTTAAAAATAAGTCTGTAACATCTCATCAACTCTTAAAATAACTTATTATATGTAAAAACTTATTGGGTTTTAAAATAAGCTTATCAAACGCCCTCTACGAATTATTCATACCGCATGAATCCATCTACTACAATTTTCGGTCGTTTGAGTTGACCAATTCAATTTTTTTTTATATAAAGAAACCACTACAATTTTCGGTCGTTTGAGTTGACCGATTCAATTTTTTTTATATAAAGAAACCAGTGGCCAACTATATTCTGCAGTGACCAATTCATTTATTTGACGAATAAGCAATTTTACAAGACCCATATTCATGTAATTATTTTAAATTAAAGGGAAAATTGCACATCACCTCCTGTAAATTTCTATTTTTTGCACTTTACCCCATCAAAATTTTTAGATGTGAATGTCCCTCTTCAAAATGTCATTCTTGTTGCATATTGACCCGATAACAAAACTTCGATGGATAATTCATTGGAATTGAGTATTTTTGTTGCACGTTGCCCCTTTCAATCTTATTTTTGTTGCGCGTTGCCCTTAAAAACACTATTTTTTTGCACGTTCCTCCAAAAACTGGCTTTTGGGGCAAAGTGCAACTAAAATAGTTTTTATTTTTCTACGAGTATTCTGGGCACTGTGGCCGAAATGGAGATTTAAATTCATCGCTAAGAATGCAAATTTAGCTTCCCATACTCTTGCTCTTTGGGCTCTTTTAGGTAGTTGGATTGGTCGTGTCCCTTTAAATTTGTTTCCTTTAATCTGTTTTTGCGATGGAGGCTTCCCTCTTGTCGACTCGCGTAATTTTTCGTTCTTCTAATTTAATGCATGTGTTAATTATCAAAAAACCAAATAAATAATAAATAAATAAATAAATAAAAAATTTAAGCGCGCCTACTAATGTAACAAGTAACAACTTGTGCTAATATATATTATATTTTTTCCCACCACTCTTATAATCCACCTATATAAAGCAACATATTCTGAAGCAATTCGTACAAAGACAAATCAAATGGCTGTAATAACATTGAGCATTATTTTCACCTCCATTGTTGTAGCTGCATCCATGACATGGGCAGTGAAATTACTAAATTGGGTCTGGTTTAGGCCAAGAAAGCTCGAGAAAATTCTAAGGCAGCAAGGTCTAAACGGGAATTCTTACAGGCCGTTTCTCGGAGACCTAGACGACATGATCAAGTTCATGAAAGCCGAACAGCCGAAAACAATCGAATTGTCCGATGATATATTGCCCCACATTTTTGCATATTACCATCAAATTGTCACCAAATACGGTAAGAATGAATATTTACAATTTTTTAGCTCGCTAGGGGTATTATAGTAATTTTACTATTATTTGTAAATGTAATTACTATAAAACAAAATGAAAAAAAATGTTCCAAAATAGCTAGAGACGGCCCTGAAACTTAATTAGCGACACTAACAATATCAAAAATGATATTAGTGATACTAATTACTAACAATATCGAAAGTTGTCACTAAATGCATATATTAAATAACATCTTTTTTGTTTTGTTGTCATTAATAGCTCTTTTTGCTGCCATTTAATCCTTTTCTACTGTCACTATACAAAATTAGTGACAACTTATTTTGCCTAACTGTGTGAAAATTGATGTTGTCACTCGAAAGATTATTTTAATACTTGATAACATGACTTGCACTTAATTTACATGGATTATCAGGTGAGAATTCTTTCATATGGTTTGGTCCATGGCCAAGAGTAAATATAAGTGATCCAGAGATAATAAAGGAGATACTAAGCAAACCCGATATATTTCACAAGCCACTTCCGGAAACCGCTAAGATACTTATAGGCGGTATGTTATTACTCGAGGGCGAAAAATGGTCGAAACACAGAAAGATTGTCACTCCTGCTTTCCATCTTGAGAAATTGAAGGTAATAATTAACTATATATTTTTAAATTTACATTGGATTCGTGTTGGCAGTTATTTTTCAATTTATTTTGGGAAAATAGGTTTTGAGAGAATATATAATTGGATAATGAAAGTAAAGTTTGTTTATAATTTCAAATGAGACTGAATACGCTGTATTAGCGGTCAAATCATGTTTAAAGGTGTTAGGTAAATGTACTATAGCGTCATGTCTGAAGGAGAGAGAAACTTTAGAAGTTGTTTTGAGATTTTCTTTGGAAACCTTAACAACGAATTTGTTTTCGGGAAAGAATTAAAGTGAAATGAAAACGTAACCAAACATTGCCTTTACTTTTATTTTTTTACGGTGACTTTTGAAATTTGACTTTACAGAATATGGTACCGGCAATTGGCTTAAGCTGTTCGAATATGATAAACAAATTGAAAGAAATAGCTTCGAGTCGTCGCGATGAAGGGGGTTTCGAAATTGACATGTGGCCGTATATTGATGATTTGACGGGAGATGTGATTTCACGGACAGCGTTTGGTAGTAGTTACGAAGAAGGGAGAAAAATATTTCAGCTTCAGAAAGAAAGAGTTAAGCTAGCCCTACAGTTATTGCAGTTCTCTTTCATCCCTGGATGGAGGTAAAACAAACAACCATGTCTTTTTCCTATGTTTTTTTTTAGTTGTTGAGAGGTTTATTGCATTTAGAACCATGTGTTTATTCTAATTTTCAAAGAACTCAACATATTATTAATAGAGTTAATAGCATTTTGCCACCTGTACTTTTTCCCCGTTTTTTTTTTTTTTTTTTTTTTTTTTTTTTTGCATTTTGCCACTTTAATAAAAAAAAATTACACGGGCAGACTCGAATCCGTTATTTTAACTCACTTAACCACCTAGAGCGGATATTCAGGCGAATATTCACAAATTCCAGCGCACGCGCAAAGCACATGACTAAGTACATGAGTTTTTTCGTCTTTTCATTTAAAGATATCATATGGGGTGAAATTTAAAATTCGAAGAACTCAATTGTACTAAATTTGAAACTTCCCCGAATTTGAAATTAAAAAAGATTTGGGTGTTTTTTTAAAAGAAAGTTTCTCCTTAAATAAAAATGCATCATATATAGAGGTTTTTGGCTAATAATAAATTAATAATAACGCATTTTGTTTTAACAATTCGATGTAACACATAGTACTAAATGCAATAAACTCCGATCCTAGTGATGCTTGTTCGAAAAAAATCGGATGATAGGCCAAGTATTGAAATAATTTTGTTTCGCAGGCATGTCCCGACGAAAGTGAACAGAAAAGTGAAAGCAATCTCGAACGAGATAGAATCCATACTACGAGGTATAATCAAGAAAAGGCACAAGTCCGCCACCGAAACGGGAGAAAACGGTGTTTTCTTCGGTGATGACTTATTAGGTCTCATGATGGAATCGAATGCACGTTTCACTCGGGAAGAGGGCAATGCGAATGAGGGCATGACTATTGAAGAAGTAATTGAGGAGTGCAAGCTATTCTATTTCGCGGGCTCCGAGACAAATTCGGGTTTGCTCGTGTGGACCATGGTGTTGCTATGCAAACACCCTGAATGGCAAACTCAAGCTAGAGAAGAGGTTATGCGAGTTTTCGGGAATTCAGAGCCGAATTTCCAAGGATTAAATCACCTAAAAATCGTAAGATTATATATCCTCACTTTTTTTTTCCGAGTTTATTGCATATAGTAACCCTATGTTATATCGAATTGCTGAAGAACTCCTCGTGTTATACATAATAGCAAAAAACCCCTTACAAAGCATTTTTTAAACTTAGCTTTAGGCGGCGTTTAAAAAAAAAAAGAATTATAGGGGAGTTTTTTGCTAATAAAATAACATGGGGGATTTTTCAAAAGTGCAATTAGAGAAAATACGGAGGAGTTAAATGCAATAAACCCTTTTTTTCATTGGCTTTCATATATTGGCATTCTATATGTAACTACATATCGAAAAAACAGGTGACGATGATTCTGCAAGAAGTCCTAAGGTTGTACTCACCGGCACCTCTAACGGTGCGAGCCCCTACGGAGACGGTGAAACTAGGAAACATGACTATTCCATTAGGGGTACATTTGTCATTGCTAATAAGCCAAGTCCATTGTGATCCCGATATTTGGGGAGACGATGCAAAGGAGTTCAATCCGAAGAGATTCTCCGAAGGGGTTTCCAACGCAACGAAGATCCAATCGTCGTTTTTACCTTTCAGCTCAGGGCCTCGGATTTGCCTTGGTCACACGTTTGCGATGATCGAAGCAAAAATGGCTCTAGCAATGATTCTAAAGCACTTCTCGTTCGAGCTTTCCCCATCTTACTTGCATGCTCCTTTCGCGGTTATCACTCTTCAACCACAATACGGTGCTCCAATGATTTTGCGTAGTCTCGAACCATTATAATAAACCATGTTGTTTCTAATCTTTCGTGAAATTATTTCTCCACCGAAATAAAATGATGGTTAGGTTATGTTCATTGTTTAGTTGTACTTGTGTATGAATCATTATGCTTTAATGTAATTCGGATCTCGAAAATATGAACTACTCGATTAACTCAAATGAAATTACATACATCGAATGAGTATTGGATGTAGACATGGCCACCGGTCCAGTTAGAATCAAACTGGGTTAACGGTCTGGAACCGGTCAACGCTAACCGGACCTGAAAAAGACCGTTCCGGTTCCCGTTCCGGTTCCTATATATTGGAACTGCAAAACCGGCAGTTCCAACCATTTAAAAAAGAAAACGTTAATTATAAAATGCCCACAAGTCAGAATTTTCAGAAAAGAAAAGAACAAAAAGTAAATAAATAAGAAATAGCCAATGGTAATAATTCTTTAAATTTACTTAAAATTTTGAAATTAAATTCAAGCCCTTTAAGTTCTATTCCTTCTCTTATTTAAGTTTTTCAAAGTATAACTAATTTGCTAAAAGTTTTTAGTACAAAATGTATTTCAACCCCTAGAAATTTTCAATGTTCGCACTTTCCCCCCTATAAATTAATAAAATAGACTCCCCTTCAAAATTTTGTTGTAGTTGCACTTTGCCCCAAAATCACAATTTCCAGCATATTTTTCACCGGAATTCCATTTCAAGAGCATTTGAGTCATTTCATTATTCCCATCAACATCCTAATATCCTTATTTTTTCTAATAAACGAAAAACACAACCCATTTCACTAATGTCAGGAAACAAATGAAGGTTTTTTTCTCCCAAAACAAATTGTTCCTTTTGAGGTCTCAAAATTGTGAGAATCTTCAATTTCCCCCTCAATTAGCAGCTATTACGGTGATCCGTCCCTCAAATGACACAAATGCCCTTCAATTGGACAAATTCATGTCAATTCCCATGAAAATTGTAATTCGGTGAAAAGTGCATGCAAATGCAACAAAACTTTGAAGGGTCTATTTTTCAATTTGTAGGGGGAAAAGTGCATTTTGTCCCAGTTTTTAGAAGTACAAATATTGTTTTTAAGTAATTAAAATAATTTTAATACAAAGAAAAAAAAATCAAAAATCGGTTAACTGCCGGTTCTCACCGGAACCCAAACTAACGGTTATAGAAACGCCTCCGAATCGTGTATAGGCGGTCCCAGTTCCAAACCAGCGGTTCTGCGAATTACGAACAATCTAAACAAAATAAATATTTTAATCCCATTTCTCAACTTGGACCGGATCCGATCCGGATCCATGTGGATCGGATTCAAAAGGATCCGGATCCAATATCAATCTATATGAATAGATTTAATGTGAATTGAATTTAGACCGATCCAGATTGGATCCAAATGGATCCATTTCATTTTTAATTCAATTTATGAGATTGAATATCTCAACTTTTAGGATTTAATATCTCAATTTATGTAGTTTAATATCTCAACTTTTAGGATTTAATATCTCAATTTATGTGGTTTAATAATTAATATCTAAACTTTCAAACTCACACATATTCACACACACTTTTCATACACAGTTACACACTATCACACACACGCACACACTCATATACACACACTGTTTAACACACACACACCCCATTTTACACACACACACACACTCTGTTTTACACACACACACACACAGCCCGGGAGCTGCCCTGCCGCTCTGTTTTACACACACACACACATGGTTTAACACACACACACACACACACACACTGATTTTACACACACACACACACTCACATGCACACACAGCTTCTACACACACTCACATACACACATTGCTTACACACACACACACTCTGTTTTACAGACACACACACACACTGTTTTACGCACACACACACACACACTCACATGCACACACAATTTCCACACACACAGACACACTGTTTTACACACATACACACACTCACATGCACACACAACTTCTACACACACTCACATACACACACTGTTTACACACACACACACTGTTTTACACACACACACACACACACTGTTTTACACACACACACACACTGTTTTACACACACTCGCATACACACACAATTTCTACACACACACACACACACTATTTTACGCGCGCACACACACACACTGTTATACACACACACACACACACACTATTTGATGCACACACTGTTTTATACACACACACACTATTTTACGCACACACACACACACATACTCACATGCACACACAGACACACTGTTTTACACACATACACACACACATGCACACACAACTTCTACACACACACACACACACTGTGTTACACATACCAATCTAAGAACGTCTTGAGAATTTTTAGGAATCACAAATAAAATTCCATATCAAATATCCATAACTAAAAAAGAAAATACAACGCATATGTTGATGCTACAAAAATAAGAACCATATTTTTAAGATAGTCTGATAGTTAGTTAGTTACCTAGGAAGATGGCGTATTTCCATGTTGGGCCATTAATTTTCCGATGTCTGTCGAAAGAATCTCATCGACTTCTTCATCTTCGGAATCGTAAGCTGCAACAAGAAACAATTATAAAATAGTAAAATACACATGCAAATACTAAAAGTTAAATTTAAGTTTAAACTTTAAAGTGTTAAAGTTGTGGTAGTTAGACCTTCAAGCCAATCACGTGCACATCTACGACAACATCTTCACCACTACGAAACGGACAAATACTTTCAAGATGTCTCTTCAAGTTTGTTGTTCCGCTACTCACATAGAGTTGACCGCACCTCTTACATTTAGCCTTTTGTTTTCCATCGTCAATAACTTTTTGAAAAAAATTCCAAACTTCAGAACTATTTTTCCTAGTTGTCCTCGACTCAACCGAATAACTGTCCTCATCATCATTCTCCATCTATTTCAATCTATATCAAAGTGTGTAAAGACTAAAGACCATAACTTTACAATAAACTCCAAACCAAGAATCACCTGGAATGATCTTGACACCTGAAAATAAGATATTTGTCATGTTTTTTGAACAAAAAAATATTAAAATAAGATCATTAATTTAACAGCCCTAATTTTTTCATCAGAATTAATAATAGCACTTGAGTTGGAAATATATGATCTGCAGCATAATAGTTCTAATAAAATAAATAAATTAATAAATAAATAGTAGAAAAAAATAATAATTGCTAAACAAATATAAAATAAAAAATTACCTCGGAATGATTCCCCGGAGTTGGCTCCGACTTGCTTCTCCTCAGTTCCTTAACATTTTCCGACGGTCTCCGCGGCCTCAAACCACCGGAAGGCCTTATTTTCCGGCGGGAAGGCGACGGCGAAGGTCTTGGCGGCGAGCGGCGTGCGGCGGCGGCGAGCGGAGTGGAGGCTGTTCACGGCGGTGAGCGGAGTGCGGGTTGTTGACGGCGGCTAGCGGAGTGGAGGTTGTAGACGGCGGCGGTCGGCGAGGAGCGGTATACGGCGGCGAGGAACGGCGATGGAGGTGGGGAATGGCGATGGGTTGAGAAATTTTTGGGTTGAAATCTGAGAGAGAATTTTTCGATTAAACTTTTAATTAAAATAATATTTTGACTTTTTTTTTGAGAAAATTGTGTTGGTATTAGATTGGGTTTTAATTGGGTTTTGATTGGATCCAATATGACCCAATTTATTTTGTGGTTAAACTTTTAATGGATTTAAAGTGGATCCACATGGATCCAGTTTTAAAAAAATATCAACTGGATCGGATCCGATTTGTTTCAACTAAACTTAATCTAAACCGGATCCTTATGAACCGAACCGGATCTAGTTGGATCCACGGATCCGGATCCAAATTGCCACCCCTAGGCAAGAGGTTGTCAAGTAGTATTTAACTATTCAACTAGTTCTTGAGATCCTTTCCTAAATTCTCTAATCAATTGAAATACAAACAACTGCACATGGAACAAATACTGTTGAAAATATAATAAGATTCGGTCAACCTAATAAAAAAAGTTATTTAATTCCTTGGATTGAGTAGAATGAAGGATTTTGCCTAACAATCCCGAACATTAATATCCTTTTAAATCAGGATATTTATATTTTCGTATTTTGCTAAAAGTCCATCGGGCAACTTAGTTAGAGCACTTAGATATAAAATAGGGTTTATTAGGGAAAACCCCCTTATTCATATTTTCTAATGAGGTAGATCCAATTTTTTTTCCCCTTTTTGAGATACACCCAATTTTGTCAACTTGGCAAAATATATTATATAATTTCCCTTTAATACCCTTGTTTTATTATTAAACGACATTTATTTCCTTTAATACGTGATTTGAGATTTGCTGATACGTTGCCTAAAATCACGGAATAAATTTACGTGAGATCATTGGCCGTTATATCAAATCGTGTACAATATTTTTTGAAGATTCTCTTCATCGTTTCAGCGGGTTTTATCGTCTTTGAAGATTTCTGCACCGTCTTGGAAATATGATCGATTTTTGAGCGTTTGTTAATTGTTGGACGTTGTTAAGCGGGTATGAATGCGTTATTCGTTTTTATTTTTTGCTCAATGTCCATGATTGTAGTGTACGGTGGTTAGAAATTTTTAAGAATTGTGTTGATACTTGATTATATTAAGTAGAACGTTTTTTAACAAAATTATTCCGTCATATATATATCGTTTTTTTTGGCCGATGATGTTTGTTTGGAAGAGGATTGACAGAGTTAGAAGAGGATGGTTCACGCAGATCGGACCAGAGTTGTTTTATATGAGCTTCGTAGTTGGTTTATGCAATAATCGGAATAATTGTCTGCTGTGGTCGAGTTCATGTTTTTATCCCGATCGATAGTTGGTTTATTTGTTTATAACAGCCGATTTAAGTGTGCTGGGTAGTACATTAAAATATAGTTCATAGTCTTTTTTAATTTAGCGTATGGATTTTGCATTTTAAGTTTATTTTTGATGATATTAATGTATTATCATTCAAATGTATTTGCAGTCTATTTAATCATTTTTTAGTATTCTGCATTTTTTATTTTGTTTCATGATTTTAGGTTTTTTCGATGGCGAATTTCGTACGGATTTTGTTGAGGTTTGGTGGGTTGGTTGCTATAAAGAGGTGTTTACGATGTAATGGCTCGGTAACTTCGGTTAAGTGTTAAACCGTTGTAATACAGTAGTATACTATTATGAATACCGTATGATACTACCATTTTCATTTTATTATACTATTATGAGATTATTAATGTACTAGAGTTTTTTAACTCGACATATTGGTTAGATTGTGTTATGATGTGTTTTATGTATTTAATCAAAACCCTAGATTGAAATTATGAGATTATTAATGTACTATTTTATTGGTTATGTGGAATACTTTACGTTGGTGTTGTTCTCAATGTTCTTGTCATTTCAGTGGTATATTGTTTGTAACACAATTTCATATCACTACTATAACCGTAATATACTATCATAGCAGATTAATGTACTATATTGAAATTATTAATATACTATATGTGGTTGAATAATACGGGATCCATAGTCAATTAACGAGATCCATAGTCGAATTAGATCAATAAGATAGTCTATTACATGATATAAGGAAAATTACCCTAATTGATTAGTATTTCAAACAAACATATTATTCAGTATCCATATATATTATTATTTTTTCATATATATTATTATTTACCCTAATCGTTTTCATATAATAAGGAAAATTACCCTAATTGATTAGTATTTCAAACAAACATATTATTCAGTTTCCATATATATTATTATTTTTCCAATAGTCAATTAACTAAACCCATAGTCGAATTAGATACATGAGATAGTCTATTAAAAGATATGAGATAGTCTATTAATTTTAAAAACAAATCCGCCGCTGTCACTTCTCAAATCTAGGGTTTTGATGATTCTTCGGCCCATAGTCGATTAACGAGATCCATAGTAAAATTATACCAGTGGGATAGTCTATTAAATGATATGGGATAGTATATTAATACAGATGTAATTCGACTATGCATCTCGTTAATCAACTATGGGCCGAAGGATTTGATATTATTTCAAAAGGTAAAGTAACGGGATTTGTGGGATTTGATTGAGGGTAATTATGTAATTACGAAAAGCTTGGGCTTTTATCAAAATGGCAAATTTAAATTTGGATCTACCCCTATTATTTGAATGTTTAAGGGGGTTATATCTAATAGACCCTATAAAATAACTATTTTTAACTGAAAGTATTTTATTATCTTCTAACTCATTCATCCTTAAAACCACATCTACTAAAAAAAATGACATTTCTTCGACTATTTCGCCTCTCCCTACTAGTCCTATGCCGCCCGTCGTCTAAATCCGCCACAACATCATTGAAACAAGGGCAAATTACGGCCACCCCCTGAGCTATGGTCAAATTACGAAACCCCCCTCTCGTTTGGGTAATTACAGCCACCCCCTCAATTATGTATTTATCTTACGAAAAGACCCCTCCAGAGCTAAATTTAGGGATGTTAATTCCGTAAACCCGGATCAAAATTTCGGTACGCCAACATTTCATACCGTTTACCGAACAAAATATACGATTTGGTTCGGTAAATAACCGAATTACATAAATTTTACGTAAAAATATTAAAAAGGAGGGGGGTGGCTGTAATTACCCAAACAAGAGGAGTTTTTTCGTAATTTGACCATAGCTCAGGGGTGGCCGTAATTTGCCCTTGAAACAATGTTATTTTCGTCTAAGTTGTCCATTTTGTGTCCAAACTATATGTTGACATCAAAAGTTTGGGATAAATCACCTATTAATACATTATTCAGTCATTAAGTTGAGTTTCGAATCCAAGTTCATAACATATTTGGGTTTACAAATGAGGCTAATCCATAAATAAGTAATAAATTCATATTTTATGGATTACTTAATTGGACTCAAATCTAACCCAATAAATCCACCGGCCCATGCTGCAGACCGAAACCCTAGCTCGTGCCTATAAAAGAAGGTTTTGGCTATACGTAAAAACCACACTCACGTAGACACATATCGAGCTCTCATGCCCAAATCCCAGACTTCCACCTCGAATTTATAACATATTTGACTTCGAGATGTTTATATTTATTAGATTCAAGAAAAAACTTCTCCAGTTAGAATTTTTCAAAACAAATATTTAGCGATTTTTACTAGTTCATGGCCCAACCTGCCCACCCTTAATTAGAAGTTAGATTATCAGCTACAAAATTATTTGATAATAAAAAAATGTGATTAATTATAGTACATTAACAATATTCGATTACTTAGCTTAGCTTCACCCCTCCCAACCTTCCTACACGAGAAAATTAATTATTCTAAATTAACAATCTTCCCCTCACTTAATTACTACTCTCCGTGAAAATATTTTGTAGGATCTGTTACTAATTGTTTTCGTATCACAATGTTTTCTTGAGAGTTTTTTACGATAATTTATACCTAAATTAATGTAACAAGGTATCAGAGCGGATTGTTGGTACGCTAAAACCTATGTTGCACGGACACGGGAAATAGGGAAACGAACACATTCCAAAAAGTTGGATACGGGAATGTGGGGAAACGCGTAAATAATAAAAATATAGGGGTGCATTAATAATTTCTAAAAAATATTATAATGTTTAATATCATTCCACAAATTACATTCGGGGCTTATAAATTTATTTTAGTATGTAATTAACATCTACAAAAATATTAAAACACCACTAGAAGTGAAAAGGAGACATAATATTTAAGATTTTTTTTTAAAGTATGCAATTCGAAGTTTTTGAGCTTGAAATTTGGATTTAGTTTTTGTGGAAACACCTTTCCAATTTTTAATTATTATCATAAACGCTTCCGACAGGTGTCATGGGGTTTCGGTTTCCGAAAATTTCCGAAATGTGAAAATGTGTGTGGGTTGAAATTTCCGTGCATCATAGACGAAAACCAACTGATGGTACAAAAAATTCTTCATTTATATAAGGATAGCCATATTATTGGCTATCATTGGTATTTTACACTTTTTTTTTTTTGTGTTTTTGTAATAAATTAAATTAAAACAGGAAAAATTGAGACAAGAGGGAGTTCGTGGGGTGGGCGGGCTTGGGCTGCGAGCTAGGTGCGGGCGGGATACACGGGCCGGGCCTGGCCGAGAGGGTTGGGTAGTGGGTTAGGCCGGATTTGAGACGAACAAAATTTGTCAACCAAAATTTTACTAATTCATACTATTTAATCAATTGAACTTATTTGTTACTGAACAAAATTTTAGTGTATATTTAGCTCGCACAGATAAAAATCATGTGCCCGACACTTTACGGATGAACGTTTTCCGAAGAAACACGAAAGCTGGCAACAAAAACAAGGACAAAAAAGAAAATGTGCCTCTATACGAGGGTGAACTTTTCTT